TCTCTTATTGACTCCTGTAATTTGTTGCATTAAAAGCTTTAAGTAAAATTTCACTGCCTCTGGATGTACCTGAGCTTCCTTTCTTCTCATGCTAAATCAGGCCTACCTACCTGATAGGGCTGGAAGTAGAATCCGGGTCTCGTGCCATTACAGTGCCAATTATTGTGCCTACTTCAATATCTTCATGAACTTCAAAAAGATAGGAAGATCTGCTAAAAACCGGGGGTTCGTCTACATCTTCTATAGAGATTTTCACAATTGTGGTATCTTTGAATGGTCCCAGGTAATAAAAACGTGGGTCTACGTGGGTGTTTTCTGCTTCCACCTTGAGAGTATAAAGTCTGCGGCTCTCATAGTCAAGCGGCTGAGTAAAGAAATAGATTAAGTTAGAGTTAAACGAATTGGTAACTACATCTGTTAATCTGAGCAACAAATTTGATGACAAAAATAGATAATATATCAATCACTAATCAGATACTCTTGTTTTGAAAATCTGTAACATATGTATTGTTATATGCTGCCTTGTTTCTGTCTTTGCTTTTGTTTTTCTTGCTTTCGATTTTCTCTTCCAAACAAAAGAAAACTATTAAAAAGAAAAAAGAAAGAAAAACAAAGTAAATACATTAATATATATTAGGTAGAAACTAAAAAGTAATAAAAGAATATTCTCAAAAAAATGAAATTGGATATAATGTTCATTCAAAGTTATAATATGGTTTTTAAAAGCCTAGTGAAATCCTGCCAAACTATTCATTGATTATAAATAAGAAAATGTAGTAAAAATGATAACTTAATTTTAAATATTATCTAGGATTCAACTTTTGCATTTTTATATACTCAATATGTAATACTTTAGAATGCAAGGAAGTGAGAACTTACTCTTTGGAAAAACTCAAATGATATTAAAGATCATCTCATAATGTCGTATCTCCGCACAAGTGGATGGCTAGCTTGTGTATTGCCCTTTGTGTGCTGATGTACTGGCTATTGTTAATTTTTTAAGCCATTCTTTAAATTGTCATTTATTTAAAAATTATGCCATAGGTACTTGGCTTGTGGTATTATGTAAGCTTCATGGAATTGTCAGAACTCACACAAAAATTTCAATTGTTAACTGAAACTCTGAAGAAAAAGAAAGCTTTATATCATGAGAAAAGACCCAATTCACAGAGACTTGACAGCTAGAGTCTGCCCTACAACCATGGAGAACTTTAAATATGGATCCTTGTCTTCATTGTCACAAATATAAAATCAAGTCCTTCATTTCACACTCACTCTAACAGATACGTTTTATTATCAGAGAAAGACACTGTCGATTGAAATTGTATCAACCTGTATGAGAAGCTCTTAATCGTGTTTCCATTACTGCTCTTTCCTGAACACAAAAATCCCAGATCTGAATCAGGCTTTGCTGGTCAGTTTCGGGTTAGTGTCTGTCTTCACTTTGTGTACATGGAAATAATTTTCAGACAGTTTTATTATTGTCCCATACCTAGGTGGTCAGTGTATGTGGGGCTTTTCTTTAGGACCTAAATTTCATTGAACATTTTTTTTCTTGAAATGATAGCACTGACACTACAGTTAAAAGAACTAGTTACCTTTAAATTGTACCACTGAATATATGTTAGCAGAAAACCTTAATTTCTATAGCAGAAGGGAAAATGTGAACAATTAAATTATGTTCCAGTTCAGTCTGTCTCTTTTTATTAGAAACCCTAATTATTGCTTCATACATCTGGGCAGCATTCTACATTCTATGCCTCCAACTGTGATGATATATTGCCATTATTAGCTATTCACTATTTTTAAAGAACATAGTGTTATTATGGTGGGTTTTATTAACATGGCTCAGAAATATAATTATGCATATATTAACTGAAATTTTGTAAAAATCTCAGTTTTCATGTTTCAGTCAACAGAAACATGTAGTCAGGGCTGGCCAGACAGCTTAGTGGGCTAAAGTGCTTACTTAGGCAGACTCAAGGACCCAGGTTCAATCCCTGGTACCACATGCCTTGCCTGCGATTGAGACTGGGCATGCTGGTGCATGTCTGTAATCCCAGTGCTTGGGAGGTTGAAATCAGGAGGATCGCTATGAGTCTGATCTGTGCAGTGAGACCCTGTAGACCCTGCACTAAAATGTTAAAAAAAGAGAGAGGAAACACGTAGTAAACATGTTTAAGGAACTCTTCGACTGCATATCCTTCTTATTTGTGTTTGACATAACTTACATTTGAACATGAGAGTGATATTTCTTTTAATGTGTTATACTCAAGTACAAGGTAAATCCTTATTCTCTAAGCATACAAACAGTACTTTGTAGAATCTGGGCACCTTTTTTACAGTTATGATGCCTTCCTGTGTGTCCTTCTCAGTTACAATATCAAACATGTCCGTGCCGTCACCGTCAATAATGCGGTATTCTACTTCAGCATTTTTCCCAGTGTCCGCGTCAGTTGCTTTTACACTTCCGACAGCTGTGCCAACAGGGGAGGACTCTAGAACCCGAAGATGGATAGTATCTACAAGAAGTAAAGGAAAGAATAGAGATAGAGGAATGAAGAGATTTATAAATGAAATACCTAAAAGTAAACTGTTCAAGAAATTATTATGAGTTCTAAATTTAACATTAAATATTAACTTAGAATGTAGAATTTATCTATTATGCTTATAACTAAAATGTAAGCAGGAAAAGTAACAATGTTGAGGGCTTTGTCTTGTGTATATTAATTTGTAGATTAAGTTAAAAACCTCTCACACTATTAGAAATTTTGATTCTAAAAATGAACTTAGTTTTCATTATCATTTCTATAGGTTTCATCAAAATTGATCCTCTACATAGATGTGGTTATACAACACACATACAAAATCACACAATATTCAGGGAACATTTAAATTTAATTGTTTCTACTATGTTATATTTAATTAAAGTTAATTTTCATATTTATTTTAGCACCAGAAATGTACATAACAAAATCTCAAGAAATCAGCCAAAATATGTAGGAACCATATTGCTATTGATTACAAAAAAAAATCAAGGTAGGCTATTGCAGAAATATAAAGATGCCCTTCATAGTGTCAGAATGGAAACACTAAATTCTGAGAAACTCTTCTTTATTCTATTCATAGAAAGAATTTATCTAAGTCCTTGTAACTAGATGTGCTTCCAGCACGAACAGCCTCTGCTGTTAATGAGATTTATGTTTCAGCACTTGCTCGTAAAGTATGTACTTCTGACAGATTAATCGACTGTAAGCACACCTCTGATTATAGTACCTTCTTGCTCATAAACCTTAAGTAATTCTCCTTAGTACCCATGATGGTGTCCAGAACTCTTAGGTAGTCAGGTGTAGGTATATCTTTTCAAACGTATTTTACCTTTACTACTCACATCTATTAACTATTGTAACAAACTGGACTATTCCATTTTTTCTGATTAAAGCTTTATTTATTTCTTTCATCATTCTATGCATGCTCCTCATAGCATTTTAATGCATGAAATACTCTTGGAGATATATATATATATATATATATATATATATGCATTTCTGTTTTGTTTTGTTTTGTTTTGTTTCTGTATCTGGGATTGAACTCAGGACCTTGTGCTTGCCAGCCAGGCACTTAAACCATTGAACTATCTCGCCAGCCCTCTCATGTATAATTAGAATGCAGTTTGCCAACTACGAGAAACTGACACAGTTATGTGCCGAGTGCTCAGCAGCTATGCTATTTGAAAGATGAAAGACTGTGGAAGTTCACTTGCTGACTGCACAGTCTCCGAATTCCATCCTGGGTAACTGTGGCAACATACATTGCTGTTGTTTAGGCCGCTGGCCTGTGGAGCTCTGTGGCAGCACTGAGAACACTAATGTAATGTAACACTGATGTAATAGCATGTGCAGCTACTTGGCTTTACAACTAGATTCCCAGGCGATGTCAATAAAGTTCTGTTTCTGTCACACTCTTGTTGATGTCAAAATGTTCTACATTGTTCTCTGGTGAACTCTTCCATCACATTACTGGAAAAACCTCTCAACCTATACCTTGGCTTTCATCTCACTGTATCTTCCTTCTCGTGCACCCTAGACATCCTGACAGCCCTTCATACCACGGTGGTTCCTCCGCTCACTTTTCCCCCTTCGAGTGCCTGCTCCACTGTGTCCTCTACAGAAACTTTTACCTGTACCTACACGAAAAAGCTTATCAAAATAGCACATGCAATCACCCTCCTGCCACTTGCTCAGTCCCAGCACTATGCCATCTACTTGCCTGTTTCTGTGAGCCAGAAGAACACAAAACAACCAGGCTTTTTTGTTCTTTTTCACCTTTGTATACCTTGCAGAGTCCAAATGAGTAATGTAGCCACTACATATAATGTTTGTACATTGGGTAAATTTGTTGTATATTTGATCTTTTTTATGTTTTTTCCCTGTAATGGAGATGGAACTCAGGATCTTGCACTTGCCAGACAGGGCCTTATGCTGCTGAGCTGTTTCCCCAGCCCAGATACTTGATTTTTGTAAATTATTTTTTTAAGTGTATTTGGTACAGAGTGTCACTGTGTAGCTTGGATTTGAAGTGATCCTCTTGTTTTCAGCCTCCCCAGTGCTGGAATTACAGGCATCCACCACCATACCTGATTCAGTGGCAGGCTCAGCACACCTGGGGCCAGGATCGGTGCAGCACGTGGTACCTGGGATCAGATACTTTATCCCGAACACAAGCTTCCTAACTAATCTACTAATTCCTTTGTTTGGTTAACTCCAATTTATACTCAATTTCCATTATCTACACTGTTCCATTTGAAAACTTTTATCATATCAATAATTATTTAAAGCTTTGTCTTTTAACCGCCCCTACTCTACTTAAGATAAAACCAAACATGCATTGGCTGGCCTTCAGTAATTTATCTGTCTGCTTGCTATTCTCATTAATATTTTCCAAGATCATTTGTCTCTTTGAAGTTTTCCCAACATGGTTTACTTACTTCCATTTAAAAGATTTACCCTCCTTTTGAAAGATTTGCCCATATAATTCTGTCTGACAACATTTTCTTGTTTCTTTTAATAAAAATCTATATCATCATTCTTCTACTGTAAAACCCATCCACTCTAGCCTTCTTACTGAAATATCTCTTATTTAAAAAGTTAAATCTTCTAGAGTCATTACCTCAGAAAGCAGATTTATTGCACTGCAGTAAAAGTTACTTTTTAAAGTACAAAAATGATATCCCTGCACTACTGAAAGAATTCATTGTTAATATTATATGTCTAAGTTATTTACTTTATTTTTGAAGTTTGCTTATTGGATCTCTATTAAAATTTTCTGAATCATTTCTATTTTAAAATCCAGAATATATAAGAAATGCAGTCATACACATATTTTTCCATCAACAATCAGTGAGCCTGAACAAAAATTTTATTT